AAAATAAAAAAAAAGATTACAAGAACTCTACCATCTGCCAAAGAAATTAAACGGCAGGTATCCACCATGTATCAAACACCAAAAAAATGACCAATTTGGAAATAGGAAGAAAACAAGTTTTGAAATCTTAACTTTGACTTTCTAGCTCTGGTCATAAGAAAGTTGCTCAATCACTCCAGGTGTCCCTCTCATCAGAATAAAATGAGAAAAGTGTGTGTGTGTGTGTGTGTGTGTGGGTGTGTGTGTGTGTGTAAATGTGTGTATATGTGTATTTATTTAATCCGTTACATAGTATATGTTCAATGGAGCCAGCATGATATTACTGTCAATAACCAATGCATCAATTAAACTAAATATGTAATACCATCATATACTTGTTTAAACTATACTTTCAAACTTTAGTTTGGATTTATTAGAGTTAAGGTTGGGGTAGGATTAGGGTAGAGGCAAGGGTCAGGGCTCAGTTCCGGGTTAGGGTTATGTTTTGAGTTAAAATTAGGTTAGGGTTAGGATGAGAGAGTTCAGGTTACAGTTGAGGTTAACACTGAGTTTGAGATTAGCGTTAGTATTGGGATTTGAGTTATCCTTGAGGTTAGCATGTGGTTTTAAATTAGGGGTAGGTTTAATGTAAAAGCTAAGATTAGGGTTAAGTTTAGGATTTAGGATTAGTGTTAGAATTTGATTTTGAATTAGGTTTTGTGTGAAGGTTGGGGTTAGAGTTAGAATTAGGGTTAGAGTTGTGGTTAGGGTTGAATTTATAATTAGGATTAGGATTAGAGTAAGAGTTAGATTAGAGTTTATTGTTTGGGTTAAATTAGTGTTAGGTTTAGGTTGAGTGTTAGGTGTAGGGATGCTTAAGGGTTAGGATTAGGGGTTGAGTTTATGACTAGGTTTAGGGATAGTGTTAGAGCAGAGAGTTAACTTGGAGGTTAGGGTTTGTTTTAAAATTAGATTAGATCTAGGTTTAGTATTTGGTTAAGAGATAAACTAGTTACATTTACAGTTAGCTTCAGGGTTAGGATTAAGTTTTTACTAAAGTTGGTGTTAAGATTTGAGTTAGAATTATGGTTAGGATTACAATTAGCATTGAGTTTAGGGTTTGTGTTTAAATTAAGTTTATGATTAATGTTAGATTTAAAGTAAGAACTAAGGTAAGGTTTAGGTTTAAGGTTAGGGTTAGGTTTTGAGTTATGTTTAGGTTTAAGATTAGATTTAGAGTTAGAATTATGGTGAGGAAAAACTAGTTAATGTGTTAGTATGACTATGTTAAAAAGGAAAAAGTCACAACAAAACAGATAGATGCATAATATTTACATTTTGACTTATTAAAAAGTCCTTAAGTAGGTTTTAAAAATTCCCAAGGTTACTTAATATGCTATGATGTAACAGCATTTTGATGTTTTCTAAGGATTGACAGCAAAGTGCTATATCTCTTCAAGCTTGTAATTTACTGCCTGTTCGAGTCTCTGCTTGTGCCAAGTTAAATACATGGTATGAAGTCCCCACCAGAAATAACATGGCACGGCCTCCTGCTTCTCTCATTGGTTGAATGAGGCCCACTGAAGAAAGGGAAACAGGATTTTATGTAATCATCTGAATAACTGTTTTCTTCAATTTCTTGAATTAGAAGCTACTGGGATGGGGGTGAGGAAATTAAAAGAAATCCCCATGTAAATGATCAGGCCATCAGAGAAAATTTCACTTGAAGTCCCTACATTTGAAAGGCAAAAAAAAAAAAAAAAAAAAAAAAAAAAAAAAAAAAAAAGATTATTCTTATTAATGAACTGCTCAGAAAGTCAACTTTTCCAAGCGCCCACATTCTGAGGCCTCAGAGTACTCTTTGCCTGTGAGGCACAGATTGTATTGCAGTATAAATGGTGGAGTGCTTCCTTCCGGCAGACCCCACCCAAAACTCTTCAGAGGAGTCTTGTAATAGAGAACATGAAGACATGGGATGAGAGATGAAAAAAGACATGGCATGGGATCCAAGGAAGGTTTCTGGGTTTAAGGTGAAAGATATGATCATATGTTTATCCATAAATGACAGAGGAGATGACATGCAGGAAAGGGACGATGCATCCATTGTGATAGAAGGGAATGAAATGAACTACTTATGGATACACATGTAGAAGTTTGGGAGGTACTGTAAAGAAAAAAATTGCCGAAACCGATTTGGCTCAGCGGTAGAGCATTGGTCTGCAGACTGAAAGGTCCCAGGTTCGATTCCGGTCAAGGGCATGTACGTTGGTTGCAGGCACATCCCCAGTAGGGGGTGTGCAAGAGGCAGCTGGTTGATGTGTATCTCTCATCAACATTTCTAGTTCTCTATCTCTCTCCCTTCCTCTCTGTAAAAAATCAATAAAATATATTTAAAAAAAGAAAGAAAATATGTAGTCGTTCTCTTCTGCTTACATCACTTTTGAATGAAATAAGAAGCTGAGGGTGAGGAGAAAGGGGAAAGACTTGAGTAGAGAGAAGATGTGAAATAGTCATCCCAGAAGTAAAGATGTAGGTACATGTAGGATAGCTGGGTAAAGCTGGGAGAAATTTGAGAGAGGCAGTCAAATTCTGAATTAGACTGTATTTACGTTTTCTTCTGCCCATATGCAGGCATAGAATACTTTCCAGACATTTACATTCTATGCATTCAAGGTTTATGATCTTTCAGATAGGGCTCAGCAAGACTAGAGGAGAGTGGACTGGGCCTCTTAACTAATTCCTAAGACCACCAGAGTCTTCCACTGTAGACCTTCATATCAAAACTCAGACAACTCAAATTAGATACACAATAATTATTCTATGAAATTAAATTATAACTATCCTCGTGTTCACCCATAAAAATATTTCCTAAATATATATTTTTAAACTGTAAACAGACCAGGCTCTGTAAGTGTATCTAGGATCTATCTTGGTATGCTTGTTTCATTTGAGCAACATTTGTATTTGTTCTTTAGTCATAGAGCTGAACTTTACCAAGAGAAAACAAATCAATTCTGGGCTCCTGAGGAAAGACCTTAGCAGACCTCCTCTTACTTCTTACTAATAATAAAGCTGCAATCAACTAGATCAAATAAGCACATTACCCATTTTATGTCACTGGGACAATTCAAGCCAAAGACGTACCTTTGCCGTCTTCAAAGAACAAAAGCATGCACACACACACTCACAAATAATAACATCTTTGAACTACAGTTACAAAAGCCAAAGAGTGTAAATTTCTTTTTACATCACAATGAAATAATTGAGAGAACACCAAAGATGCCAGAGCTCTGGTGCAATAGATAGCTGAAGTGTTTACAAAACTTTTTTTAAAAATACATTCTATTTTTTAAAATAAGCAAAAGATAAACTGTAAACCTTCTACATGAGCACCTCGCTATGTAACGTGAGTTGGAATTTCACTGTAAAGCCTTCCAACTCATAAATGCTTCCTCCATACACATCAAAAAGTGAGGCTGAAACTGCCATTATTTGAGATGAATTCCCACAGGTTCTAACATTGTCCCCTGTTAAAATGCCCTTGGCAGGGATTTCCATTATTAATGATGAGCATAAATCAATTAGCTGATGAGACCCCTTAGCTAGGAGCAAGTTTGGTGGAGTCGAAGGAGGAAACTGGAATCACACATTTTCCTATCAAAGGTACCAGGCTCTGAAAGAATACTCCACAAGGAGGCAGGAGGTCAGAGTCGGAGTCCATCTAACCAACCTAAGTGCAAGCTGTCTTATCTTGAAAAATGAGAAGGCTGGATTTGATCATTTCTAGTCCAAAAAGACCACTTTATTGATGGGAGGTAGGTCTGGCTAGAAGGGTAGGAGCAAACACAAAGGGCTAAGGAGAGGGGAAGCAAAATGTGACCCATGGTGGTCACACAGCCACACTGGGAGAAAAGAGGGAAGAAGCTAAAGAAAACGCCTCCACAATGGTAACTTTGCCAAAAGATTAACTAAATGTGCTAAAAAGAGAGACCATAGTTTTACAGGAAAATCATAGTGACATCTCGGGCATAAAGACCATAAATAGCAATAGAGAGAGAATTGTGGAATCACATTGGGTCACCGCTTTCTTTGGATCTGTATTAAAAAACTGAAATGAAACTAGTTTTGCCTGAGGAAATACTGTTCTTAAAACTAAAAGGATGGTTAGTAGTGTTGATGGGTTTCCTGACAAATGGAAAATGCTGACTTTTATGTGTTCTGTTAAGAGCACTAGCACTAAAATGACTATAGCAAAATTCACTCCCTTCTTCAACAGAAATTTTATAATATCTTGTATGTGCTTCTACTGGGTATAAAAAAGGACACCATGAAAAAGACACCTCTACTCTTAAACTTACAACATAATGCAGAAGATATGACAAATACATTAGTAAATACAATGAGATCTGATACAACGGGGCTAAGCAAAGGTTAGGGGTTTGGAAGAAGAGTTAGAGTTTTCTGTTTTTGCTTTTGAAAGATCCCAGTTCCTTCACACTTCATTCACACTAGCCAAAGTCAAGAATTTCTAAGGACAAGTTTAGACACTTAATAAAGAACAGCAGTTCCTGAACCATCTGCTTTGCTCAAAAACGAAGATCTGTCACAGGCAAATTTTCATTTTACTCCAACCCTGTGAAAATATTATTGTCAACAGGGGTAGGTAACATTTGGTTTATAACTGACATAGTGAACAAACCACGCTTTCTCAAATGGCTACAATTATAGTGCCTCTTTTGAATGGAAAAAAAATTAAAAAGTAAAGCAAACCATCCTGAATCCAAGTTATTCACTTTCAGCGAGTTTCTTTGATCCATTTAAGTGTCCTGTTACTAATCTTCTGATGAAGAAATGTGCAAAACACAGCATTTACAGTGAACAACAGAACCTTGTTATAGTTAGACAAAGATATATGACAGGACACTCTGAATGTTTTTTTAAGGAAATCGTTTCACAAACTCATACCATACAAAACTGCAGGTTCCAGCAGCCCCAACACTATATTGTTGTTGTATTCTTACCTGGTAGGGAACAATGCTGCCATGAGCTGTGCCCCAACGTTTTGCTTCTTGTTGGCCAATAAGATAATTAGCAGCGACCTGGGTTAAACATGCCACCTATCAGAAAACGAAGAAGAAGAAAAAAAGTCAGTGTATCTATACTCACTCATTACCAAAAGGTTATAATATGCAAGTTCTGGCTTGATTTTACTTTATGTCATTGAAGAAGATAAGAGAAAGAAAAAGAAACTCCCAACAGGTTAGAAAATATAGGTATCACCTTTCATCATACAAAGCAAGGAAGAGCCGTGTTAGATTCGTGCATGAGACCAAGTCCTGCATACTGGTCACCTGAGAAGTATAAATACCAGAAACATTAAGCTCCTGAAAAGATCGCCTGAAGGCAGAAGTTGCCCCGGCAGGTGGAACCTGGTCAAGCTTTTAGCATCAAAGCCTTAGCAAAATAAATCGGCAATCATACATTCCCTTCCCCTCTCCTCCAGTCCTACTTCCCATCAAGAGGATGCAAAATGAGACTGTGCCATCGCTGAGCAGGTGAAGCAAAGTCAGGAGGCACATTCCCCTAAACTTGTCATTACATATATAGACAAATGAACTAACTAATCTCTATTTTGTTTTTAAGTCCATTGAGTCAAGTTTTCTGTTCCTTGCTGCCTAACGCATTTCTGCTCACACAGAGAATCAAGATTATTTATTTATTTTCATTCAGAGTGAATCACCCTCATGGAAACAAAAAGCACTGTAAGTTTCCCAACTTGCTCTGGCCTCGTTATTATACCTATTTCCATGTTCAAGAGGCATAGTTCTATTAAAGGCGTTATCTAAAACTGACTCCTGCAACATTTCATATGCAGATCTCGAAAATCCACAATAATTCAACTCCATGTAAGGCTAGCATGAAGATATTAACTTAATTCCTGGAGATCTGCCACAAGGAACTATGTTCCAGTGAAAAGCCATGCCTTTGAGGGCCCAGGATTACGGAAAGGAGGTGACCTAATAACAGCTTTTCAGTTTCCAGAAAAAAATAAGGCATCTTGACTTCTAATATCATCAAGAGATAGCATGAGCTTGCTTTTCCCGTTATAAATCATTGGATGTGACTAGGAATCTATCAGGCCAGCAAGTCAAATACATTCCACATTGAAACTGGCTCCTGCAACAACTCCAAGGGTGATTTTTCAAGGCATGGTGCCACACCTATTATTGCCCTCTGCCTGGCGTGGCACCTGTGCCTCCTACCAGGGCCATCCATGGGGCTCGACCTGAGTGAATCTCCTTCAGCAGCAGCCATTCTCCTTTAGCGTGTTCTTGGGATTTACACTGACTTTTATGTTCATTTACTGCTCTGTTGAAATTGGAACTGCCTTATGGCAGCTGGTTCGGCTGTACTGCCCAGGTGGCAAAACTAATAAACTTTGAGTCATCCACTTCTGGACCTCCATCTGGTCTTGGGCATTTGAACCATGGAGCATTCCAGGGCTGCCTGGGGCTGCCTAATGTTAATCACCATTTCACAGATCACTTCTGTGTCTCTCAAAATGGAAAACCAGATCAACATTTTGTAGTGAAAATACACTGGATAGGAAGTCCAGGTTCATGGTTTCTAGTTTCCGTCAACCTCTAAATAGTTGTACAACTGTAGGTATATAATTTGATTTTCAGGTACATTCTCTATAATATCTTTGACATTTGACCTAAACCAAATTTCAGTTTTTTCAAGCTTTTTATATAAAAGAGCAGAACTCCTATATCAAACCACGTAATACAGGAAATCCTAATCTATAGGATATTTTTTTTAAATTGAATAATTATGAAGGCTGTGTTTATTAAAATACATTTCATTTTCAAAATTGAGCATTAGCTGTTAGAGTGGGTATACATTTGTGGGGACACCCTATGTATGTACATAATTCCCCCACATGCTCTGACTGACGCAGAATCAGATCTGCAATGCCACCCTGGGCACATGAACACAGAACACAATTTGCAACACAGTAAATAGCCTTAACTTTGCTTCCAAGTTCTCTACACCTCTGACTCAATTATTCTTCTTAAAAGTCTGGCTGATAAAAAGATAGCAGGGATGCGATAGTAGTAATTTTCCTGTGAAATTGAGAAAACTTTCTCCAGTCTAAGGTTTTTCTATTTTATTACCTTTAAGAAAGGATCTTCATTAATCTAGTTATGTTTTTGTTTTGTTTTTTAGGGGGGAGGGGATGGGTCAGGGAGAGGTTGTTTTTTTCAAATACATTTGGTTAAAGCATCCTCAAAGGTGCTCTGCTCCTACTGGAGGCAAAGAATCTATAATAATAAAAGTATAATATGCTAATTAGACGAGATGTCCTTCCAGATGACCTTCTGGACTAAGGCTGCGAGGGAAGCCCGGGTCCCGGATGCCAGAGGGAAGCCAATGCTGGCAGCCAGGGGAAGGGAGGCCTGCTTTTTTTTTTTTTTTTTTTTTTTTTTTTTTTACAGAGAGGAGGAGAGAAGGATAGAGAGTTAGAAACATTGATGAGAGAGAATCATTGACCAGCTGCCTCTTGCACTCCCCCTACCGGGGATGTGCCCGCAACCAAGGTACATGCCCTTGACCGGAATCAAACCGGGGACCTTTCAGTCCGCAGGCCGATGCTCTACCCACTAAGCCAAACCGGTTTCCACAGGAAGGCCTACTCTTGCATGAATTTCATGCATCAGGCCTCTAGTTCACATTAATAAAACTAATTCTTTGCAAGCAATTAATCACAAAAGGCTTAGTATATCCACTTTTCTAATCTCAAGGTCAATTGATAATTAATACATCCACGTCAGCAAGAGCTGCATAAGATAGTGGGCTGACTGGATGATCACAGGTTAGTCTTAAATCCTAGACTGACCTGAGACAACAGCCAGGGGTAGGCATGGGGTGGACTGTCCCTGGCTATCTTGTCCACTACCTCATCCTTTCTTCTCAATTTTGGCTTCTGTGTTTCTGTTCCCACCTTGATAGTCTGTCTTTGACAACTATTTAATAAAAGTAGCCGCATTTAGAGTTAGTTTGAATAAAAAGAGTCAGAACTCATCTCACAGACTATTTCTAAATGGAATACTATATCCATTTTCTCCACACAGTGCTGACTCATGAAAACAACAAACATTTCAGAATACCGTGTTCTCACTGGGCAAACAGATTAAATAAGATTTGAAGCCAGATGTCATCCAGAAACAAAATATGATTTATCAGTAAATACTCAGAGGCAAAGTTGGAGGGAAAAGAATTATACTTTGAAAAAAAGAGAGCACTGTGCTTAACTTAGTAACCCAATGTTTAAAGGGGGTATTATAGATCTGAAAGTAATCTACTATTTACAGGATTTTTTTTAAGGCAGGAGAAAGGGGGGAAAGTGATTATGTATAAAAAACCAGAGGCTTCCTGGCAATTAATGACAAATTTTGCACAACTCAAATGAACATAGGATGTGACTTTTTGGTTAATAAGTATATACTGTATACCCATTCTAAATATTGCATTATGACATTATTTTCATCCCCTAAACTTAGGCTCATTATTTCATCATGTGGATGCTATATAATTTACTCAGAATGTTGCCTTTATATGATTTCATCTAAACAAAAAAAAAGGCTATCTTTGATTTAATAATAATCATTCTGACAACAAAACTATTATTTTAATAACATAGTGGATCCTTAATGTTCTTTGTTTCTGACCAGAAAACCAAGGGGGTGATCAAAGTGGATCTCAAAGGGCAGAGTCACTAAAGGATTGAGGAAGAAGACACACAATTATTTCCCAAAGCAGCTTCTTGGTATCAGTCACCACAAGTTTCACTCCTACCAAATAAAGACCAAGCTGCAATCATAAGACCTTTCGTCTCCAAAAGGACAACCAAGTATGATAAGCAAAGTGGGAGAAACAAGACTAGAACTATGGTCCATGGCATCAAAATGGGTAATTCCACCACCCTGCTCTCTTGCATATATTCTGGCCTCTAACTAAACTGGACTAAATCCCAGTCGTGCTTCATTTTTTCATTTGCCCATATCTCTATTCAGTCTTCAAAATCCACTTCAATAGGATCTTACCCATTAAGTTCTCCCACCACTGAAGCACGAAAATATTTTCCCTACCTTCCTCTCTCTCTAAATTCAATAAAAACATATTTTTAAACTGTTAATTATTATAATCCAGATGTTAAAGATTTCCTTAGTTTTCACCTGATGTCTTTTTTCTGTTCCATGATACCATCCAGGTTAACTAATACATTATATGTACTTATTGGCGCCTTAGCTTCCTGTGGCTGCAACAGTTTATCATGCATCCCTTTTTTTTATGACCTTGACAGTTTCAAGGAGTGGTAATGAGGTATTTTGCAGAATGTTCCTCAACTGGGAATTTTTAAAAGGTTTTCCCATAATTAGACTGGGATTATGGGGTTTTGGAATGAAGACCACAAAGATAAGCGCCATTTTCAACACATCATATCAAGGGCTTATATTATGGACATGATTTATCACTTTTGGTGTTGAACTTGATCACCTGGGTGAGGCCGCGTTTATCAGGTTTCTCCCCTGCAAAATTACTCTTTTTTCTTTTTCTCTCTCCATTTAAGAGGTAGGCGGCTATGATCCTCCTTTTAGAGGGTGTCTATATAAATGATTTAGAGTTGTGCACAGGAAATCTGCTCTTCTCTCCTATTTATTCAATCATCTACTTATATCAGCACAGACTTATTTATTTTATACTTTGGATTACAATGGAATACTACTTTATTTTGTTGCTCAAACCATTCCAGATTTGGACACTGGAAGCTCTCTCAGTTGGTTCCTATGTCCCCTGACAGCCTCCCCATCATTGTCATTTGTTTTTCGTGTGTCTTTTCTTTTTTTTTCTTTTAGCACTCTCTTCTTTGTGGCACTACAAGATGCTCCAGGCTCATCCTTATATGTCTTATTCCATTCTTACGGGAAAGCATAAAAAGAGGAGGAGTCCTAGGGTAAGGAAAGGGACCTACCATTTAGTTTAGGGTCAACTCGCACCTCATTGGTTCACTCATTCATTCAAAAACCTTGACATCACACCTACTATGTACCAG